TCGTCTCCCTCCCGTTACCTTTCTACATATAGTCATAGTCCTTTTTTTTTTTTTTTTTTTGCTCTTACATACATTCACAGCAATTTTCTAACGAGAGGGAAATAATTATCATCTTTATGAATTTCCCAATTTCCTTCCATATTTAGCAGGGGGAAAAAAATCCTGAAGTGGATGAAAGTTACTGCAGCATTTTCGATTCAGAATAAAGTCTTCATTAACTCCTCCTCATTCTTCAAAAATCATAAAATCGCAATCTCAGGTTGGGTTTCTTACAAAGAAATACATTGATTTTAGATTGGACACTTTCAATGACAATATGAAACAAACTGTTAAGGTTTGTATGTATCTGCCCAAGTCTTCAGGCTGGGATGTTGCTCACAAGCCCACGATTAAGGTAGTCATGCTTGGTACCAAGAGTGTTCTCCTCTCTGTGAAACTCCCACCCACAAACTGAACATTTGGCTCTCTTTCCAGCTAAAGAGTGTTAAAAATTGTTCTTCTGTTTTCTTCCAATGTGCTTTTTTTAATTAACAGTGCCTGACTAAATTTTTAAACTGCCACTGATTATTTTTTATATTCTTATTTTCCCCTGAGACATGCTGCTGTGAGCTGGTGAGGCTTTATGCTTCCCTATTAATTCATACACACACACACACACAAACAAACACACACTGTAAGCAGCCATGAAATAATCTATTTGCCCTGAAATATAACACAACAGGATCTAAATAAAGAGATTGGGACAGTTTTGGCAACTTGCACGTGTGTGTGTGTGTGTGCGCGCGCGCCTATCTATCTATCTATCTATCTATCTATCTATCTATCTATCTATCTATCTATCTATCTATCTATCTATCTATCTAAGCTAATTTTTATAGCCCTTACAGTAGAGTTTTCCTTCCTCATTTTTGTGGACTGTTATCCTTTCCTTCTTTGTATGTTGGTTTATCATTTGGCTAGCAGTAAGACATCTAAAATATCCTGTGCTGTACAAACAGAACTTGCATATTTGTGAGCTTAACGGCAGCCTTTTTCTTCTTTCTTTCTGGTTCAACCTGGTCTCCCCACTCTGCTTTTGATTTAACCCAGTCTGAAGGGTTAGATGACTAAAGGCCCCTGGAATTTCCAAGAAGAGCAACTCTGAGGAAAGAAAGAAAAATCCACGTAACAGAAATAACTAAAACTGTCTTCCAGCAGTTTCCCCAAATACCTGTGGGCTGCTGCTACTTGAAGTACACAAGTCCAGAGCACGCACATCCTTTGTACATTCAGAAGGAGCCAACCAATTCTGTGGATCCCACCTCTTGTTATTTTCATCATGCAAACAACCTTGAGATATGCAAGAAATCTGAAGCAGCATCTAACTCACCTCTGTGGCAGACACTCTGTGGTAGCATTAAAAATGTAAATATTTGGTGAACAGGGAGGCAACTGTCATTATTTGAACCACAGGAAAGCATTACTGAGGAACATCCTAATGACTCTTGTCTCAGAAAGAGTTTTCCCCTCCTGCTGATGTTTATGCTAAATGAGCCGAAAGGTCTGCACAGGTGGTCATATGCTAGCAAGAAGGAAAAGCATTGCACTATTGTTAACACTAAGGACAGCTTAGTACTTAACTTATTGGTAGAGCAAAAAGAAAGAGAGGAAAAGTTGCTTTCCACATGGGGAGTCTACTCAAAGGTAAAGTCGTTTTAGAACTCAAAGGTAAAGTCAAAGGTAAAGTACCTAAAGGTAAAGGAGATGGATGTTGTTTTAAAGCAGTCTCTGTATATCATTAGAAGATGTGATGAGATCATTGAAATACCAAAAGTTGTGTTAATTTAACATGTGCCAGGGCTGGAGTCCCCAACAAAAGATCTGGAAATGCCTGCTGACCTTGATGCCCCCAGGGCTTTCATCTTGACCTTTCACATCTTTGAGAGAGGGAGGGAGGGAGAATTGCATGCTGCAAAGAAATACATGAGCTTCCAGCATTACTTTTATTTATATCAATGGTTCCCAAATGGACTCCATCAACTAACAGCATCCCCAGGAAGGTGTGTGTGTGATTATAGCATGGTTGCAGCACTGTACCACAAGTTCCACCCTCCTCTACGTGTGTTGCAATGTTGCCCGCAATTCCAAAGGAGTTTGGGCTGTTATGCTGCTTTAATCATTCCGATTAAAGTAGCAAAAACCTGCAAAAGCTACTTCTGTCAGCTTTCTTGGAAAATAAAGCTGTGTAGACTTCTGGTGAGGATATGATGAACTGAAGATGTCCCTGAAAAACTGTGACAAAAACAGATTTATAAAAATTTGCTTTTTGGAAAAGGGTGATTGGAGTGTTGTTTTTAAGAAGTTATAAATGGATTTAATATAAATTGGAAATTAAATAGAAAAATCCTTCCTATGGGAAACTAGCCAAATTTTTGCATTCAGAAGAAAAACAATATGATAAGATGGGATTTTGAAGGTTGGACACTAGAGGTCACCAGAAGCAAATAAAACAATGGATGTATTGAGAGAGATGTGAGAACAAATGACTCAGAAGTTATTTTTAAAGATTTCTACCATTATTGATAGAGTAAATGATGCTATGGAAGAGGAACAAGTTTTACTGGAAAAGAATGAAATTGATTCAAATGTGGACTTAAAAATGACAGACTACAAGAAGGATATGGAACAAGATGAAACATGGATTTACAAATGACACTGGCTTATGTTTTAATAACTAAAAAGGACATACAAATAATAGACCAGAAGAGTGACTTGGACAACCTTTTTATATTGGATCTACAAAAGGGACTTGTTAATGTTGTCAGTCACTTTGTGTCAGAATCTGCAGCGATCAAGATATATATTAACTAGAGGACTGCTTTGTTAGTTTAGCTAACGCTATAGTATACTTTGATTTTAGGGAATGTTTTCTTGTTGTTGTTCAGCCGTTAAGTTGTGTCCAACTCTTCGTGACCCCATGAACCATATCACACCAGGTCTTCCTGTCCTTCGCTGCCTCCCTGAGTTTGCTCAGTTTCATGCTCATTGCTTCAATGATGCTATTGAACCATCTCATCCTCTGCCGTCCTCTCCTTCCTCTAGGTTTGCCATAGCTTTCCTCCCAAGGAGCAAGTGTCTTTTAATTTCATGGCTGCAGT